TGACATCTGGCCACCAGGGCTCATGGCAGATCCAGCATCCTCTTATGCGTATCAGAGACACCCTCCGCTCGATCCATTACCAGGTCTCACACATATTCCGGGAGGGAAACCGGCCTGCCGATTTCCTTGCTAGCACGGGGGCATCTATACTCCAGAGACGCACCCTTCTTTCTGAGAACATTCCCCTCTGGCTTCGGACGCTCATTCGGATGGACCAGTTAGAGTACCCATCCTTCATATTCGGTCGACCGCCACCTCCTGCCCCTGACTAGATATGACATTTTGGATTTCATGCCAGGTCACTCTGACCAGGACGACCTTTTATGAGGATTTGATTTTAGATCCACCTTGGCACTTATGACTTTTACATCTTCTTTAGTTGCCATTCAAGGTAAATTCATTCTCTTTTCTTGCATGAAATTCTTTAGAGTTTGATGTGTTAATGTCAGTTGTTCATGTTTTTGTTACTGTTATTACAGTGGATGCACCACTTAGTCTGTCCTTCTCAACTTACATGACCCTGGCTGTGGTGTATGGGAGCATTTTGATACACCGGCGTCGCAAATTGTTGGTAAAAAAAAGTTAAATGCATACGTACAGTAAAACTAGTGAAAATAGTTTTCCAAAAAAGATCATACATGTTTTTAGTAGTTTATAAAGAATTTACGGTACGAAATAGTTATGTGAATTTCAGGTCCCTTGGTGTTGGTATGTTGTCCTGGGCTTCGTCGACGTCCACGTCAAATGCCTCGGTAAATATGACATTCTTAAGTCGGCATATTTTGAAATATGAACTTTTTTTTGAAATAAAAGATGTCGATTTTAACGTGTCAATCATTCAAACGAAATAAAAGATAGAATATGAATATAAACTTAAATTTAATTCATAGTGTTTTTTTTTTAATATTTTTTAACATTTTGTTCATAACAGTTAACAAATCATTCCAATTTACATCAATTACAAGTGTGACAATCCTGGGTTGTTGGACAATAGCATGGGCAGACATGCTCACATGGATTTTCTTGGGCACGAAATACTCGGTTCGTCAGTTTGTGGGTTCGGCTGTTTGTGTGGCCGGCCTCGGCCTAGTCCTCCTTTCTGATGCCGGAGTGGTCGTTGGAGGTGACCTTTTTCGATCCTTTTATCAAAGTGAAATTATATATATATAAAGTTCCGATTTTCAATCAAATTAAGTGTATTTGAAAATGCTTGTTTTGTTTGATCAGGTGGTTCGAATCCTGTTTTGGGTGATTGTCTTGTAATCGCAGGCTCCTTCTTTTACGCGATAAGCAATGTTGGCGAGGTATGTCAGTTAGTTAAGACGTGAAAATACCATACACTTATACGTTTTGTTTCTTAGCTCTTCCATTTCACGTTTGTTGAGCAAATTTTGATTGTGATAATCAAGAATTTTGTGTGAAGGTAAAAGATCAATTTGAGGCAGTGGCTATGATTGCCATGTTCGGCATGCTCGTTAGTGCAACCGAGATGTATCCTTTCACAAAATCTTTTTTTGTCCAATCAGTCATATTTGGCTACCAAAAAGATCGTTAATCGTCATCATACTTCCATTAATTATTAGTTTCTTAATCTTGACCTTTTCGTGTTAGTACTGTCCTCGAGAGGAAGGCATTCGAGTCGGTCAAATGGCCTGATGGACTTAAAAGTATCGACTCTAATGTGGTTAGTTTATTAACCTTCTGATTTTCAAATTTTATCTGTCATGATTGTTTTGTTCTAGATTTCAGCTTATGCTAGTTATGCAGTGGCAAGCTTTCTGTTCCATTAAATTCTCCCATTTGTTCTCAAGGCTAGTTCCTAATCATTTAGTTTGAAATGATAATGTCTTTCGATATTTCTATGAAATATTTGTAATAACTTATGATACAGATGAGTGGATCCACACTTTTCAATCTTTCCCTTATTACATCAGATATGTGGGCTGTTGTGATTCGAACATTCTTCTAAGAGCAAACGGTGACTTTTGTGTTTATATTTTCTGTAGATTTTAGCTTGTTAGAATTAAGGTGATTACCACCTGAGAAAAGCCATTCATTTTCTAAAATCCATACCGAAAAATCTCGATTTGAGTTTTGCAGGTAGATTGGTTATACTACGTGGCATTTTCCTTGTCGTCGTTGGGATTTTAATATATTCGAACATGTAAGTTTTGTTGTCGTTGTCAAAAAACTTCGTATTTTTTCTTGAAGACATCAAAATTTTTCGGACTTGTAAACAATAATAATCGAGCATTTAGCAACCGAGTCATTAGGATGATATAATATTTTTGCTGGCAGAGAAAA